GACCACCATGCCTGGCTAATTTTTAAAAATTTATTGTAGAGATGAGGTCTCACCAAGTTGCCCAGGCTGGTTTCAAACCTGTGGGTTCAGGCAATCTTCTTGCCTCCACCTCCCAAAGAGCTGGGGTTACAGGCATGAGCCACCATGCCCGGTCTTAATATTTTATTTTGAAGATGTGGGGTACAATTCAGAATTAGGTATACACGTGGACATTGTACAGGTAAAGTTTAGGCCTCCCTTTGGTCCTCACTTTGCCTGGTTTGAAATTAGGTACATTTATTGATGCTGTGCCCCCCCCCCCATCTAGGCTCATTGCTAATAAAAACCAGGCTCTGGAGAGATTCAAGGACCCTTTCTGCATTGGCCATCACTTCTTTAAAGTTTTCTTGACAGGAATCAGGAGACACCTGAATGAAGGTCAGGCTCTCCAGGGACCCCAGCTCATGGAAAAGGAGGCCTCGGGTTTTGAATTAAAGCTCCCTCAGTCAGATGACCCCAGTCTTCCCCATATTATAAAAGCCTTGTTTAAAATACAGCCCCCAGTTCTAGTGCCAATGATTTGTAGTGTGACCTTGGGTAAGTTACTTTCCTTCTCTGGACTTTAATTCTTTTATCTGTACAATGATGGAAAGCTACTTCCTGTCCTGCATTCTATGGTCCTAAAGAAAAGTCAAATACTGGAATAATAAGGCCTGTGTACTGAGCACTTATCTGTTAATCACTCTCTCACATCACCTCTTGATTCTCTCAACACTGGAAAGTGCTATTATTGACCTTTTCTTACAGTTGAGGAAACCAAAGCTTCACCCACTGTAAGTGGCAGAATTGGTATCCAAATGTGGACTTGTCTGTCTCAGTTTGGAGACAGCAGTTTTTGCTTTTTTTTTTTTTTAAAGAGCTGGGGACACTATGTTGCCCAGGCTGGAGTGTAGTAGTTATTCACAGGCTCAGTCATTGCACACTATAGCCTCAAACTCCTGGGCTCAAGTGATCCTCTCGCCTCGGCCTCCTGAATAGCTGGGATCACAGGTGTGCACATCACCATGCTCAGCTGGGAGACAGTGCTTTTAAGTCATTGTTTCAGCTGTATCTCCAAGTGCCAGCTCAAGTGCTGACGACCCTCAATGGTTGCTCTCATACATACATGCACATGTGTACTTTTACGGGAAGGAAATATATGCTCACGTGGCCTAAATCTCAGAAGGCCTAATAACATTTTTAACAGGCCTGCTGAAATAGCCTCAGGACATCTGGCCCAAGTCCTCATGGTATATAAGATGGCTATAGAGAGAGAGGACATGACTAGGCCTCTGTGACTCTCAGTAAAATGCTCTTTGTATCACCCAGAGTTGCTTCCTCACATTCTTCTCTTCCTGTCCCAGCTGGTTCTCTCCTCTACCCAACCACCTACATTCCACCATGCAGACAGTCATGCAAGCTGTTTGGGAATAGGTTTACGAGGGTGATGTCTTCACTTTATGATGACCAGGACTGGACAACTCTTATATCAGAATGAGGAGGTCCTTTCTGTATTTATGTGTATGTTTAAAGTCAGTCTTCTACCTACTTACCTTAGAAACACTAGTAATGTCCCTCTTAAGAAACAACTGAATGCACGTGAGGAAAGTTCTTCCATTTCTGAACCATCGGGAGTTTCTGGCAAGATTTATATTATGTGCTGGAGTCGGGATTTGGCTTTGTATATATAGACTCTCAATGAGTCACATTTTCCAACTGGCATCTCAACCCTGAATTCTTCTGATTGATTAAAAAAAAAAACAAACCCAATGACATTTCTGTTCCAGTTTGCCAGAATCCTTGCTCTGTGCTTCCTCTTTTCAGCCCTGTTCTGTCTTGGGAGCCTTTGAATTCTGATTCCCTGACTTTGACCCTGGTGCTGGCGAAGGATTTTGAAACTTCCTTTGCATCCACTGTTGTTTTGATTCTTGTGTCAACCTAGGCCCTGCCGCCCTCATGCCCACCTCATGTCTGCTCTGGCCTCTGCAAGCAAAGTTCCCTGCCTGAGTACATTGTATTGTTAGTGATGCTGTCATCCCCAGGCTGTGAGTTCCTGGAGGAAGGAGTTTGATCATATTAGCTGTAATCCCTGAACTTTGATAGCAAGGATGATGGAGAGAAACTCCTGGATCAAGAGGCAGGAGCTCACAGCCCAGGGAGAGTCTAAAGCAGGTAGCATTTGTCCCCTGTGGAGGAGCAACAGCTGCAGGCACATGGGCAGGGCCTCCAGCCCTCGCCTGTCTCTGAGCCCCTGCCTGACCATCATGGCAGTTGATGAGCTGTTGCATGAGTTAAGGTGCTTTTGGTGTCAGTAACCGAAACCAAGACCTGCTAACTCTGGCTAGCGATGAAAGGAAGATATTCACATGCCCGTCCACAGATGACTGGATAAACAAAATGTGGCAGATATACATACAATGGAATATTATTCAGCCTTAAAAAGGAGTGAAATTCTGACACATGGATGAGCTTTAAGGACATGATGTTAAGTGAAATAAGCCCATTACCAAAGGACAGATATTGCATAATTTCACTTAAGTTCCTAAAGTTGTCTAATTCATAGTGACAAAAAGTAGAATGATAGGGCTGGGGGAAAAATGGTGAGTTATTGTTTAATGGGTATAGAGTCTCAGTTTGGGATGATGAAGATGATCTGGAGATGGATAGTGGTGATGGTTGCACAACAATGTGAGTGTACTGAATTGCATACATAAAAATAGTTAAAATGGTAATTTTTTTTTTGAGTTGGAGTCTCACTCTGTCGACCTGCTGGGATCCTTAACTTATGCAACAACTGCAGGCGTGCGTGACCACGCCAGGCTAATTTTTTATTTAATGTAGAGCCGAGGTCTTGCCAAGTTGCCTGGGCTGGTCTTGAACCTGTGGGCTCAGGTAATCCACTTGCCTTGGCCTCCCAAAGTGCTGGGATTGCAGGCTAAGCCACTGAGCCTGGTCAAAATGGTAAAATTTATGTTATGTATTTTTTTTGAGTCAGGATCTCACTCTGCCACCCAGGTTGGAGTGCAGTGGCATGATCATGGCTCACCATACCCACCAACTCCTGGGCTCAGGTGATCCTTCCATCTCAGCCTCCTGAGTAACTGGGACTATAGGAGCATACCATCAGGCCCAGCTAATTTTTTGATTTTTGTAGGGATGAGGTCTCACTATGTTGCCCATGCTGGATTCGAGCTCCTGGGCTCAAGCAAGTCTCTCTCCTCAGCCTCCCAAAATGTTAGGATTATTGGCATGAACCACTGCATCCAGCCTATGTTATGCATATTTTAACACATGTGTACCACCCCTACAACCCTCAGAACTGACTTAGGTCAACAGAAGTTATTCTTGAGGTGCTAAGATGCCACCATAGCCCTTTAGGATCTTTTTTTTTAACGGACGGATGATGGGAAGGATACTGTGGCACTTCATGGAACTGAAAGACCAACTGAAGGTCAAAGCACAAAGTGGGTGCAGGAAGTGAGGCAGTTTCAGGGACCTCAGGGCAGAAGTTCATAGGGACACTGCCAGAAACTCTCTTCTGCTATAGTAGCAACTAGTATGTGTTTCTCAGGTCCAAATTTCAAATCTCTCTGAGAGTCTCTGGCCAGTCCGGTCGGGTAGATCAGCTTTGGCTAATGTATTAGCAACATGGCCACTAGGGGCAGTCATGGGCCAGTTCACCAGAATCCAATGAAGTAAATGGCCAGCTTTCAGAATGTTCACCATGTCTTTTTTTCTTGATTATCATGCCTAATTGCCTGATTTTTGCTTTGTCTTTACAACAACATTTTGGGAGAATGTTGAATGCAAGAGAGCTGAGGCAGCTGTCTGCTCTTGAGCTGGAGCCAGAGAGGGAGGTTGAATATACTGTATGTCTGGCCTTGGGGCTATGTGAGACCTCTAGCCCCAACCTTGACAAAATTCTCAAGACGTGTGGAGAAGCTCCTGAAAAAAACTGAGATTACACTTCTTTCACCCTAGCAGGAAAAAAGGCAGGAAGTTAGGAATTAAGTTGTCAATCAAGGAAGTTTTATTTATCGCATGCTTGCTTTGGACCAAGAGCCTACCTTGTCTACTGTCCTTTCCCTGTCCTGCAAAGTTTAGCATGGGAGGTAGAAATTTGTGCCTTTTCTTTCTTTCATTTTTTAATCACCCACTGTCTGTACCCTACCATCCTGAGGAATTCCAAATATGGGGGTGGGGGAACTATCTAGCAAAACCTCTGCAATATGGACAAAAACGATGAACATGAATATTCCTACCCAGACCTGCTAAGAAAATGTTATGTTATGAAAGGAAAAAATAATGGAAGAAAATATAGATCCAGGAAATGAAAAAAAAGATAAGGAAGGACAGGAAAAATCAGGAGTGGGGCTCAAGACTCAGAGACCAGAGATAGTCTGGCAGGTTGGAAACTGGCTGTTATTTTTTTTTTGTTTTTTTTTTTTTGTGAGTCGAAGTCTCACTCTGTCACCCAGGTTGGAGTGCAGTGACATACTCACGGTCACGGCAGTCTTGACCTGCTGGGCTCAGATGATCCTTCCATCTCAGACTTCCAAGTAACTGGAATTACAGCACACTACCATGCCTGGCTTATTGTTTGATTTATTCAAGATGAGGTCTTGCCAAGTTGCCCAGGCTGGTCTCAAACCCGTGGCCTCCCAAAGTGCTGGGATTATAGGCATGAGCCACTGTGCCCAGCCCAAGTATTTAGAATAACTAGTGTATTGGGGTGAGGTGAGGAACTGAAAGCATAGCAAAGGGAAGGATGTGAACAATGTTTTTCTGTATATTAAGAACATATCTCTGCCCACCTCCCATATCTTTGGCATTTTCTCCCGAGATTGAGAAAATATTCGAAATATCTCTCCTTTATTTTGGTCATTGGCCTATTTCTCTGAATGTGACTGCTAGTTTCAGCCCACAAATCTGCCCCCAAGTTGTCCCTCCGGTAAACTTGGCATTCCAGTGAGGCCCGATCATTATGGGGAGTTGAGGAGCTGGGGTTGGCCTTTCCCGGATGGAATAGTTTTAACCTGGGCCAAGTTCCTGGAAGGCAGCAAGGGTAAGTTGGGATCCTTGATGTACTCTTGGACCCAGTTGTTGCTCGGGTTGGTGCAGACCTCTCGGTTCTTTTTGGTAACGAAGCTGTGGAGGCAAAATTAGACTGTCATGGATTGCAGACTAGGGCAAGGTTCCAGGGCACACTGCCCATCTCAGCTCATCTGGGGCTCACCTTATGTTGTTTATAGCTACCCTAGACCCCCCTCGCTGGGAGCCCTCAGAAGCTCTCTCTCTCTCTGGCCTCGTGACCTTATCATCCCTTCTCTCAGTCCCTTCCCTGCTTGGCCTAGACCTTCAGGCTTAAGTTTCATAATGGCCGCCATTTATTGGGCCACACAGATAAAGTGACAAAATCAGGAGTTAAACCCAGACTCCTGCCATTCAAAGCCCAGACCCTTAGCCACTCCTCCACGCCTCTAGTATGGAGACTTCTTGGTCCTGTGTATCCCATTCCTACCCTAGGTTCTCCATCCCTCTCCACAGACATTTCTTTAGGAAAATGCTCACATGATGGCTGGCAGGTGACAGCTGAGGGCATTTCTGTATCCCATCACTAGTTTCCTTGGCAATACTTTCTCATTATACTTCAGGCAGCAGGTGGGTGAAAGGTTCACAGCCTCAGGAATTTCTGAAGAAAACACATTGCAAACTGAGCCAGGGAGGTAGACAGGGGAGACCATAGCTGCCACCCTCCATCCCATCAGTGGCATCTCACTCCTCTGATAGCAAGGCCATCTGTTAGCAGGACTGATGATAGCTTGATGGATAATGGAAAAGATAAAGCCCCCTGGGGTACATGCATGTAGACCCTTTAGCCTCTGAACTGAGTGTCATCAAGTACAAATGACTTGGTGATTCACATTTGCTGATGAACCAGTAGGGAGCTGGCTCACTCTTTGGTTTACTCATGACTTGATCTACCAAACATATGCTGAGCTCGTGTTACATGACAGGTTCTGTGGGAGTAAATCATGAGGAAGACATAGCCACTGGCTTGAGTAGCTTATGAACCAGCCAGAGTAAAAAGGGAAAGTGAAAAGTTCAACAAACACTGCCATAGAATGTGGCCCAGGTTAGAATAGACGTGGCATGAAGTGCAGTGGGAACAGAATGAGGGGTTCTTCCTCAGTGTCTGAAGAGGAAGTCCCAAAGCAAGCAATGCCTGAGTTGATTCTCAAAGGATGAGAATTTAGGTTTGGCGTGGTGGCTCAGGCTATAATCCCAGCACTTTGGGAAGCCGAGGCGAGAGGATTGCTTGAGCTCAGGGGTTCAAGACCAGCCTGGGCAACTTGGTGAGACCTCATTTCTAAAATAGAACTCTTAAAAAATTAGCTAGGTGTTGTGGTGCATGCCTGTAGTTCCAGCTACTTGGAAGGTTGAGGCAGAAGGATCATCTGAGCCCAGCAGGTCGAGGCTGCAGTGGCCGTGAACATGCCACGGCACTCCAGCCTGGGAGACAGAGTGATACTTCCACTTAAAGGAAAAAAAAAAAAAAAAAGGATGAGGATTTAGACACACAAAGGAGTTGTAGGATCTTGAAGAAAGAAATGTAGGAAGGCCTGAAGTTGGCGGCAGCAACATGTCTAGGGAGGGCAGAGCAGTTTGGAGTGGCCGAAAAGCAAGGTGCCAGAGAAGGAGTGAGAGAGATTGGAGAGAGGAGAGGGCCCGATCACATACTTACTAAGTTGTGGGGATATCTGGACTCTATCCTAGAGGCTTTAGAGAGGCTGAGAGCTTACAGGGAGGAGGGTGAGAGGGTGGAGCCATGAGTGAGAGAAGTTACGACAGGAGGAAAAGTGTTCGGGGTTGAACAGCTTGGGTTGGAATCCTGACAATTTGAATTTTGATTTGAATCATGGAAAATTTTCCTGATCTCTCTAGGTTTCAATTTCCTCACTTATTAAATGGGGCTAAGAAGATACTTATATCCTAGGATTACAGTGAAAATTATTTGAGAAAATGCTTATAAAGCTCTTAGCTCAGAGCCTGGCACACAGAAAGGCTCAATCAGTGCTTATTATAATTAAAAGCAAATGGTAGTAATGACCACTCTTCTTGCCTTGAAATGACTTTCCTCCTCCTTCTACTTCTCCTCCTCCTTCTTCTTCACTCTCTCTCTCTTTCTCTTTCTATCTCTCATTGGTCTCAAACTCCCAGGCATACCACTACACATGGTTTTTGCTTTCTTTTTTGAGCTTATAGGATGATGGACTTGATTAGCTATTGTCACTGTTTCCCTTGAGCTCCCCTGACTACCCACCAGTTGGGGATATTACACAAGAGGTCAGGCCAGAGATGTACCCCAGCCTTAAAAACCTGCAAAGTGCAAATCCCTTTGTAGCCTGACCCCTTGCCTCCAGTTGGTGGTAAAGCTTGGGACATCTTGAGGGCACTGTCTGTCTGATCCATTTTCTCTTCCTTGAAGCCTGAACCCACTGCACTGGCCTGATTGACCTTTCCAAAGGGCATTGTTGCCCCTCCCACCCACCAGACACACACAGTCCCTCTGAAAGTGACTTTACACACTGTCATTCTGCAAGCAACATTCATGTCCTTGGTTCTCAAAGCAAAGTTTACAAAGGCCAAGGTCATCATGTGGACAGATTACATGGTGCATTTGACCCTTGCTCTCCTGTGTTTATATAGGCAGAGTTAGGCCAGATGACATGCTCAGGTAGCCTTAAGGGAGAAAAGAAGGCAGGGGCAGCCTAAGGAGGGTAAGTGGAAGGGCTGAGTGTCTTTGTTTCTCTCCTGTCACCAGGTCCTCATAAACAATGGTAGAGGCAGGGTATACAGAGTAGGCAAAACCTTATTCTCCATAGGTTCCAATGTCCCTTCTCCCCACAGTTCCAAACCTTTTCATCCCTTTCCTCTTTTCTGCAGACTTTATTTAGTTTTAAGCTAGGGGGTGGAGAAGGTGGCCATAGCTCCCCAAATGGCACACTTGGCCATCCCACCGGGACTGATTTTGGTTGTCTGATAATCTCAGCCATCCATGCCAGGCTCTGCGAGGAAGGGGTATCTATGTTTGGACTCCCCATTCCTGGGTTTAGTCCCAAGTGATTGCTTCAAACTGTCTCTCTCAGCGTATCTGCTGCTTTTCTCATCCACCTGCCTCACCCTCCCCATCATTACATACACTTATTATTGTACTTTCTACTGCTTCCTTGACTTCTACTCCTCAATAGTCATTCCTGCTTTCCACTCTTGGGGCTCCTAAGGAAGCCTTGACCCAGCTTCCTGGAGCCACCTGCCCCAGAAAGATCTAGACCAAGCCCAGCTCTATTTCTAGAGTGAAGAATTTGTGATCAGCAGTTCTGCATGAAGGTGGGGAAAGCCCCCTGGGGCTGGTGAGGCCAGAGATCTGATAGTGCTCTTAGCATCACCTCACTACCAGCTGGCCCTTCTCATTTCTGCCCTACATAGGCAAGAGGACTCACTTGGCTTACTGTAAGAAGCAGAAGTGGTGATGAGGACGAGGAGAAAGAGGATAACCACAGAGACCTTCATCCTCTCAGTGGGGTGGTACAGCTTCAGGGGAGAGCTGAGCAGATGTGTCCTCCTGGCTGCTGGTTGTCTGCCCTCCTACTGCTCAGGTCTTTGGACTCTGCATCAAAGTCAGTGAAGGGGGAGAAATAACGGGCTGGTGATTGCTGAAAGAGAGGGCGGTGGAGGATGGGCCCTGGTGCAGAGCTGAATTCAGTAAGATTTAGATTCATGTGAAGGAATAATTGGAGAAAGGATGTGGTGAATGTGTACTGTGTGTCAGCCACCTTGCATGCTCTCTCTTAATCCTCAAAATAGTGAAGTAGCAATGATTATGCCACTGGGACCACTGAGGTAGAGAGAGGTTAAATTCATTGTCCAAGGTCACATGGGTATGAGGTGGGGATAGGCAGTATGAAAACCAGATTCATTTGATTTTACCATGTTACCTGCCACCATCTCTATGTTGGGAAGGTTACAGGAAGAGTTGAATCGCCTCAGTTTCCCCCAGGTAACTGGTCCTGAGGTGGGTGAGCATAAAGCAGGATTAGAGAGAGGATAGACTGAGGCGAGGGTAGGGTCTCTGAGAAAGATGTCCTATTCCAATTCAAGGACACAGGATTGAACTCACGTCGCAGACTATGCCACTAAAACTCTGAAAAACAATGTGCCTGATCCTTGGGTCTCCATTAGTTGCGGAAGTGTTTGGCTTAGTTGTCAAAGTTTTTATTTATCTCTTTGGACTTAGGATGGATTTTTTAGGTGTAGCCTGTTGCTCCCTCCTGGGTGCCCACAGAACGGGTTTATCCAGCACTGCGCCGTTGCCAACCATGACCAACAGAGCCAACAGAGGGCGCTCCAACTCTTTGAGCCTGACAGCCTGCTACCGTGGCTCAGAGCTCGAGCTTCCATTCCTCTGACCTGGGTCCAGGCCAGGAATGTTCCACAGCATCATCTCTTCAGATTGCCTCAGGACCCCTGCAGGACCCCTTTCCAGGTTGAAGGCAGGGTTCAGAGAAGAGATCAAAGTTACAAGGAGTTTTGCTGTTGTTGTTTTTTAGAGTTGGGATCTCTGTCACCCAGGTCAGAGTGCAGTGATGCAATCTTAGCTCACTACAGCCTCGAACTCCTGGCTCAAGTGACTCTCCTGCCTCAGCTTCCTGAGTGGCTGGGACTACAGGTATGCACCACCACACCTGGATAATTTTTTAAATTTTTTGTAGATACAGGGTCTTGCTATATTGCCTAGGCTGGTCTTGAACTCCTTGGCCTCAAGCAATCCTTCCGCCTTGGCCTACTAAACACTAGGATTACAGGCTTGAGCCAACACACCCAGCTGAGATTTGGCTGTTGATTACTGTGAGCTTTAGAGGCAGAGAGGATGTGTTTCAGGAAGTGGAAGGAGTGGGAGGCAAGGGCTGAAGAGGGCATGTGCAGATCCTTGTAGGGCTGGTTGCTTGGCATGAATGTTTATAAATAGGTCATCCATATAATACAACTAGTCTTTATAGGTTCAAGGCAGTTAGTGGTGGTGAAGCTGTGACTTTTTGTGAGGATAGGGAGGGTACATAGGTGGGGCACCCTTTTGGCCTCTGTTTATGGAGGCGATATGGTCTGAGGAACCTTTAGCATGCAAGGTCCCTTGTGACTCTTGCCGTGACTCACAAGCCCTTGTCTGTGGAAGGTTGGAGCCCAGGAAACATTGGTCATAGTTCCAACATGGGGCATGCTCTTACTCCAAGTATGCAGCGCTCCTCTTTGAGCAATGAAGATGTGTTTTAGAGCCTATTTTTGGAGCATAGACCTCCTCTTGATTACTGCCTCATTCCATCCATAGCTTTAGCCATCCACCTTTCCATCCATTCATGCATCCATCCAATCCATCCATCCATCCATCTATTCATTTCCTGATCACCTGGCATGAGCCAGGTTTTCTTCTAGGCCTTGTGGAGGATTAAGAAAGTGAGTAATGGGGGGGGGGCAGGGAGGGAAAGGGAGGTGGGATTAACGGTAGTCAATATCTGTCTGGGGACGGGAGGGGCACACCTCATCAAAAAGGGTACCTGCACAATGCATATTTGTATACCTAACCCTTAACTGTACCCTACGATTTTAAAATAAAAAATATGTATTAAAAAATGAGTAAAACAATATAGTACAACATGATATACATAAGTGAAGGGGAACTGATTGGATAAAATGTGTCCATGAGTAATTTCTATCCCAGATAGCAATGAAGAAAGGCCTTGGAAACAGCAAAGAAGAAATGACTATGGAATTCAACCGCTATGGAGAGGACTTTATGAGGACTTGTTGAGAATTTAGCATCTATGCAGAAGATCAGGCGGTGATTCTTAGTTTTTACATTAGTTGTGAAGCTAAGAATAAGATAATGCATATAGACTACTTAGCAAAGTGTTTGGAATGTAGAAAACAATAAGAAAATAGTAACTGTTGTTATTGTCATTGTCAAGCAAGTGGCCTTTACACTGTGTTTCCTCCTCACTTTCTGCTTCTCACTCCCCCCATCATAGGCCTGACTCATTTTTTTGCACCAGGCTGTGGCACAACTTCTGCAGAGTGAGGCCTAATGCTGAGGGTGCCACGCCCAGGCTGGGCTCATTGGTGTCCTCAGACTACTGCCAATAAGAAAATTCAGTGGACAGCCAGTTTTCCCAGCACCATTTACTGAATAGGTTCTCCTCTCCCCAGTGGTAG